AAACAAAAAACCAACCGCAACAATAACAAAATAAAACCACTCCAAGCAACAGTCCAAAAGTCATACCATGTGATCTTTTGGTCTGTATTCTGTTGATTTGTTGCTTGTATTTTAAGATCCAGCTGGACTCTAAGGATTTCTTAGTATTTTTGTCTATAAAGTGCAAAGCATACTATGTGTGTGTAATAAAGCTGGAGCATCTCTGCAGTGAAATTTGTGAAAATTACAGCTTGTGTGGCAACTGAATTGCAGAATACAAAACAAATTTTAATTGGCATTTCTGTCCTTGGGCTGAGGATGCAAACTATGGAATATTGTAATTTAGCTTTGAATGAGTTGCTTGATGTCTTCCCACGTTTGAGATGCGATGGTCAGGTGTTCTGCACTTCCAGCAGCACAAACATTTCTAATGCATGGATTTAGGGCACAGCATAGGTGAGGCAGAGCTTTGAGTCGTGATGATGGAATAAATAACTACAGTGACCTGCTGCTTTCTATCAGCCCTCTGTCAGAGGTCCTCCTACCTGTAGCCAAGTAGTCAGAAGGGAATGTGGGGTTCCTTATTTCAGCTTATTAATGCAAAACTGCTTTCATTAGTAGCTGACTAGTCAGGTGCAAAACTATTCATTCCTTCTGTTGACTCAGTTGATGGTTGTCACCGAAAAAAGGATAGTGTAGACTGAGGCAAAAGGCACCTTGAATCACTGCAACAGTAGGTTTTTCAAGAAGACAGCTGCTGAGACTTTTGGATTCTCAAGTGATTTTCATGATTTTTTTGTTTCAAACATTTTTCAAAAGTGCGGTGGATCTCTGCAAATAGCCTCAAGACCACCTGTTTGGTTGATGGAGACTAGATCTTAAGAATGCCTTGTAAAACTGCAGGGCAAGTTAGGAGTTACTACACAAAAAAGTCAACAATGAAACAATGTTCAGTGAAAAGAAAGCCACTGTGCCTCAGAGTATATAAACAAAAGAACCTTTCATATCTGGATGTTGGGGGAAACAGGATCTTGGGTTTCCTGTTTGTTTTTAATCCCGTCTACCTGCTACCATTGTCATCATAAATTTATTATTTTGTGACACTTTTGTCTGTGTCATCGTCCCATGTTCCTATTTCC